CTTACATGCATGCATGCATGCATGCATGCATGCATGCATGCATGCACGCACAAAGGCATGTGTACCTACCTACCTACCTACCTACCTACCTACCTACCTACCTACCTACCTACCTACCTACCGACCTACTTACCTCCTACCTACCAATCTATCCCTCCCTCCATGCTTCCATCCATCTATCCACCTACCTTACCTATCTTTGTCTAACAAAGTGCTTAATGCCAGTTTGAAGCTGATTTTACATAAGGGTTTGTCATGCTGAAGTATCAGAGCTGGTCTAGAGGATTTAGCGGTGTCATGCGTTGCCGTGTTCAGGTGTTGCGACACTTTTGATGGCTCGGCCCTGGTGCTACTACACGGACCTGAATAGTTGCAAATAGTCCTTCCCAGAGTTCCTTTAATCGTATGATGAAAATTTACCATAAACTACCCAAAACCCTATTCTCGTTTTTCGGGCTCTTGCATTACTTGTATCCCTGTGTGTCGGCTGCCCAAACAGACAGAAAGCCAGAACGGCGCAAGGGCTGCCGAGCAACTCCAGTCCGTGGGGTTTAGGGTTTGGGGTTGTGGGTTTAGGGTTTGGGGTTGTGGGTTTAGGGCTTGGGGTTGTGGGTTTAGGGCTTGGGGTTGTGGGTTTAGGGCTTGGGGTTGGGGGTTTAAGGTTTACAAGTGTAGGGTTCAGGGTTAAGGCAAGGGGTCCTGAGTCCTCAACCTTGGTTACGCGCGGCATGTCTTCTGTTTAGAATAGGTCGCTCATACAGCAATCTTTGAATCCTAGAAAATCGAGGCTTTGTCATGCGGCTCATTGCGCTAAACCCTACACCCTAAACCCTAATCGATGGCCGTCATGCACGGGCTCCGACTCAGAGTTTTGGTGCAGCCTTCCCGAGCTTCGCTTCGAGATCTTCTCTCGTGAGCCATGCAGGCCATGCATTTGGTGCAACCGTTTCTTGGCGTTCTTCTGGTTGGCTCTTAGGACTTTTTTTTTGGGGGGGTTCTATGTGAACTAGAATAATAAGTAGGCTAAAAGTTTAAGCTAAGGTTTTTGCTTGTCTTCGGCCTTCTTCTGCCATTATCCGCCAGCGGAGCCAGCTTTCGACTGATGTCTGCGAACAACAGTGATCAGAAGTGCGATGCTGTGGACGTCAGTTGCTGTTCTACCAAGACGCGGCAGAATTGCTTCTTCCCCGCAAATGCAACTTTCACGGTCCATGAAAACGGTCACACCTTCTCTGCCACTGTCTGCCCCGCTTCGGATGGATGGGAAGCACTTATCACCACGGACTGGGGATATTTCACGAACGAGCACCTGGTCGTAAAGCTACTTGCTGATGAAGAACATCTTGTCTGAATCAGCCGAGGCTAGCCGTCAAGTTGTGGCTGCGTTCGCCAACCAGGCTATGGCGGAAGTCATGTCCTGTGGAAATTCTGTACAGTCCTACTTGGGGACCTACAGTTATCATGAGGTTAGGAGCACCTCGAGTCTCCGAATAGATGAGACCAAGCCACACTGCTGAAAAGATGAAGACGGTGTTTGCTGGCGAAGCACCCTAAACCCTGAACCCTATCTGTTGCCGCGTTTTACAGTGGCATCGAGCGATCAACTCGGGTGGGTGAATAGTTGACTGGACACACACACACACACACACGCGTAGATATATATATATATATATATATATATATGTGTGTGTGTGTGTGTACAAAAATATGTTACACACATATGTGCGCATGTAAAGGGCTTTATATAGGTGTCACAGCCAATTTTGGGCAGGGTCTTGATGGTTTTAAAGCTGGCGTCCGTTGCTTTGAAGGTGGTGCCACGCGAGCTTCCACTCAGCTCAGGGGCTTTGACTTGTTCCCTGGTCCGGCTCTCACTTACATCCCTGCTTTGCCGGCCATGAAAACTAGAGGTGCTTTATGTAGGTCTGCTTACGATGAGGATCCTTTTCTATCGAGGGTAGGTTTATGATTCCAGCTGTTCTAGAAAATGTTAGACCCTATTCTGCTTGGGCAGACAGAACCGCATACGATCACGATGCTCTAAAAACTTGTCATGAAGCTCGAAGTTTAAAGCTTAAAGGCCCACCACAGAAGCCTCCTCTCTCTGGAAGGCGACTGTGGCTGCAGCCGGCGATGAAGAAGCCGGGAAGGTGTGGGTTCAAGCCTCCATGTTTAGAGGTCCTTATCGGTGCTGCAGGTTATCATAAACGTTCCATGAGGAAGTCCGGGTCTTGTTGTTTAGATTTGCGGACGAAGATGCAGTGGTTTCTGCTTGCAATTATACAACTTGGAATTCGAGGCATCGGGTCTGGCGGTTCGAGTCGCTTTGAGGCTGTTATGGCGACTCTATCCCGCTTCTGCTTCTACTATCCCACCACTGCCTTGGGGCCTGTAGCCCATTATCGTAATTTCAAACGCTTCGCGTCGTCCGCCTCGGCCCGGCCGCAAACAAAGAAGGCCGACGAATTGGGCGCCTTCAAAGACGAGGACCAGGGAAGGGGAGGAGACTGCGTACAAAGGAAAGCAGGCCGAACGGGGAGGGAACGGGGGCGGAAAGAGGTTGGGGGTGGGTGGGACTCCCAACAGATCCATTGGAGGAGGCGAGATTGCACCGCAGGACCTTGGGGCTCGTTTATGGGTGCACACAGACGAACCCCCCCGACGATACGTGGGGAGGGGATTAAGAGGTGGGGAATATAGAGGAAATCCGAATACGAACCTCTGACCGCTTCGGCCGGGGCCGAGGCGCATATAAAATTTTGAACAGCCGCAAGTACTTAGTTTTCCGATGATACTTATACATCATAGACTCCAAAGCCCTACTCTGTCAAGGCCTTTGTAGAAGAATTGATGCTTCCGTTCCTCGCTCTGATCCGGGCTCCCAGGTGAAGCTCAACTGGCAGTTGAAAGCCCCCCAAACCTGTTGAACCGTGCAATGACACAGCCAAAGCAGCAACCAAAATCTAGGAATTTCGGAAATTTAAAGCAGAAATAAACCCTAATTCAACAAAGAAACGAAGCCTTGTAGTAAGGCGGCCTGAAGAAGGAATACCTCATCCTATAAAATCCAGCAGACCCATGTTGACACACATTTTGTGGGAAGTTGCCAGCGACTCAGTAGGCGTCATAACCCTAAACCCTAAACCCTAAAGCCCGAAGAGCAAGAGGTGCGCCGCCTTCTTGGTGACCCAGAGGTCAAGCTCATACGCCGCTGCCCCGAAAGTGGGCGTCATAAGGGTCAGGCAGTACAGCATGCAATTGTGCGACTTGTGGCGGGGCTGTGTTGGTGGAGTTAGTTTTTGTTGTTGATTTTGGCTTCCCCGCTCATATGCAGACAGCTGAAGCGGTATTACAGGTTTGATTGAGTCCCGAAGGACTGTAGTTAATAGCACGCGACTCAAAGCTTTGGGTTGAGGTTAGGTGAGCTGAGTCGCTTGGCGTTGCAGCGCGTATCCTGTAGGAAAACCTGAGGTTTTCAAGTTTCAAGTACTATCAATATTGCTATCGTCGCTTCTCGAGCCAGAAGAGGTGCACATGCCATTAGTCTTATTCTTCCCCGTAGTAGACGTCGTAGTAGTCACAGTCGGATCCCCGGTCGCATGCCCAATATTCGAATCTTGTTGCAGGCTTTCCGTTCAGTCAGTGTGATCATTACCCGTGGTCCTGGTCGTCGTCGTCGCCGTCGTAGTAGCATCAGTACCATTAGTGCTTGTGGTGTTTAGTGTTATGATTTAGTCTTATCATTTCCAACTAGTACATATGATCATCATCATCAACCACATCTACTACTACTACTACTACTACTACTACAACTGCTACTACTACTACTACTACTGCTGCTACTACTACTACTACCACTTTTTTTGAACCCAGTGTGGACTCAAATCCTGCACCACTACTACTACCACTACTACT